TTGTAGGGATGAGAATGGCAAAATGTTGGCTGCCTGCCTTTTCCATTTGGAAGGAGCTTAAGCGTATACTTCTTTTTCATTCTTTTCAAACTCTTTTTTTTTATTTGTATATTTAATTTCAATCACACATTCACACAATAAACGTAAAATCCAAAAAAATTTCCAACTTTTTAACTACGTATTCTTCAAAAAATCACTGTTTAACACTGTTTTTTCCCAAAAAAGAAAATGACCACCAAACAGGTGCTAAATTTGCATGAATCGAGGCCACGAAATATCTTTCGTTGAGACTAATTGTAGCAATATAGTGACTACTATATGAAAACCACACGTGCACCAAATCAATGGAGTCCTTTAGACATCTGGTCTACTCATTGGTTTGGCGACATGCAAACCATGGTTGACATGCTCTAGCTAGACTGCTCTTAGATCAAGGATAATTTTAAGAATGCTTTTCCACCTGATATACTTATTGAAAAGCTCATTTGACTTCTAAAAACAATAAAAAACCAATGATAGAAAGTTATGCCAGTTGTAATAATAGTTATAAACTTCAATTTTGTCTTCAATATGTAAGAATGCTCCGAGGATGACCCTTATCTTAAGATGGATCAGAGTTAATTAAGTTCAAATAAACAATTTAAACCGATTAAAACATCAAATGAACACATGAATTTCAAAATTACACTGTTTAAATGAATCACTATCTTGTAGGGACACATTAAATAATAAATCTCACGTCGACTAAAGCGTAGACCATGAATTTGAAATATTTCCATGGATTTGAAATGTTTCTAATAACAAAGTTGATTTTTTATGATAAAAATTCAAATCTTAATAGCTTTTTGGGAAAATAACAGCAATGGTCTCAAACTTGTGAAATTTTAGCAAACTTTTATCTTAACCTTCAGTTTGTATTTGCGGAGGTCCCCAAACCTTTGAGAAATTAGCGGTTGAAGTCCAAATTGATGAAAGTCATCCATATGACCGTTAGTTGACTAAGAAAAATGAACTTTGACTAATTTTGATCAAATTAAAAGGAATAAAATAATAAGTTTAAATTTATCACATTAAATAAAGAAAGAAAAAACCAATAAATAATAATAATAATAATAATAATAATAAAAGAGTTGTCTCCTTCACAAACCCCCTTTCCCATCCTCACTGAAAATCAATCACCACCATCGACACCACCACAGGAATCATCGTTGGCACACACATACAACATGTTAAACCCTCATTTCAAATGGATCAAACACATACAACACACCCAAATTGAATTGTTTTGATTTTCTTGGATTTTCTTGAAAAATTCATTGAAATCGAGATCTATCTTCAACAGATTTGTCAAATTTCCAATGGATTCTGGCACAACCCCTTTGAACCCATTTTCACTCAAATCAAGAACCTTCAGTTCTTGAAAATATTTGCAGAAATTTCACCTTCAAAATTGTTTCTCGAAAGTGTAAGTTGTTCAAGACTGACTAATTCACCAAACTCACCTGGTATTGTCCTAGAAACATTGGTCCCAGTCAAAACTAGCCTCCTTAAACTCGTCAAATTATTGAGTTTGTCACTGAGTAAGCCAAATAAAGCTGGGTTTCAATGAAAACTAGCTCTTTCAAAATAGAGTTTTGAATAGATAATTAAGAAAAATTTGGAAATGGGATTTTTGTTTAGGTTAGCATTTGTAGAAGAAAAAGCTTTTTGAGGTGAGAAAGCAGAGAAAGAAAAGAAGGGTCAAGGGTCACAATTCCAACCACCACTCTACATTCTCCAACAAATTAATCCTAGAAGAGACTCCCTCAAAAATTCGTTGTGCAAGCTATGGATTTGTTATGGCTGAATTCCAATTTTGCACCAAAACTCAATCAAACACCAAATAAACCAGAATAATGGAACTAAATTCAATACTCAGCACTTAAATGTAAACTATATTTCATTCAACTGATATTTTCTATTAAAATGCAAGGAATTACAAGTGGAAGAACAATTACAAAGGAGAAGATATCGATCAGCATAGGAAGAAGAGGAATAAGTAGGAGAAACAGTGAAAAAGAGGAAGAAGCAGGGGAAAAACCTTACCAGAGAGAAAAACGGGGACAGAGAAGAAGAAGAACAGGAGATGGGAGGAGAAGATGAAAAAGAGGCAGCAGACCACGATTCACTTCCTCATCTCCATCGTCTTCAAAACAAAACCATATATACAATCCTAAGGCTTGGGCTAGTCCACTTAGATAAAACAAAAGTAAATGGCCCAATAAGCAAGTAATGGTATATTGAGTCCATGACATCTCTTCCCCTTAAGTTAACCTTGTCCTCAAGGTTTAGATGTCTTCTTTGTATGAAGGTAGCTGCTTCATTCTCTTCACTACCCTTGGCTTAAGCAGGTAGTGCAAGGTGACATATGCCTTTATAAAATCATTGTTTCTCACGCTATGATCATCATCAGTCCTCATTGTTCCAAAAGGGTCTTCTGAGAGCTCAATCATATCACTTTGACTTCCATCTTCAACAGTGTTACTTGGCGTTCCATTCTCAACCCCCTCCTTCTGATCCTTAGAATCTTTAGAGGAATCAACAGTTGCTTCAGAATTCTAATCCTTTGATTCTAAAGAGGAATCAACAGTTGCTTCTGTGAAAAGGAATGTGGCCACAACATTCATATCACTTGTGATGCCATCTTTAGTTATATTAGCTAGCATTCCAATTTCCAAATTTTGGTTCTCAGTGTTTAAAAACAAACTCATAGATCGTTCCAACTGAGGGCAAACTAGTGTTACTGCACTCCTATCATTTCCTTTACCATTTTCTACGGTCTCAATTCGGGTTCCAGCCTCTATACTCTGATTATTTGTAAAAACATTTGTAGCTGTTATAGTTTTCCCAATATTTTCCTCAGTAACAATATCATCATTTATATCATTGACACGGTCTGGCTTCAAGTGAATCGATTGAAACATCATATCTCCACCAATTTTCTCTTCTGCTGATTCCATAATAACACTACCATTATCTACTTCAGAACTCTCATCGAGCATAGTCACACTTACAATAGGTAAGATCTCATTCCAGTGATTTTCACTTTAACATTCCTCCACATATCCAACACTTTCTAAATCTGCACTACAACCAGAAGATTCTTTTGTATCTATGCTTGAAATCTGATCAGTTAACTCAACGTTGTTTGAATCTTCTGATAACTTTTCACTGGATTTATTCTCTGTCTCTACAACACTAGTGCTTCCATTGCCTTCATTAGTTGCCTTAGCTGAATCAGCACTAATATTGAACTCGTGTTGTTCCACTTTCAAGGCTGATTGATCCTCAATCATTTTAGTGAACATTGAAATGATCAATTCATTTTTTTCTGTTCATTTGCCCCATCAATTGCTCCATCCTATCTTGCTTAGTGCAGACTCTCTTCAACATTTGATCCTGTTGACCCCAAAAAATGTTGTCAACAGATGTCGGGCCCACTCTTGCCACGTCAAGCAATAATCCGGCACGTCTCTATCGGAACAAGAGCGGTAGCGTAGTTGGAAAGGGTGTGGGAGTTGCTTTCCGGCAAGAGACACAAATGTTCAAGCTCCGGCAATTTTCTTGGTGCAACCCTTGCGCTATCAACATGGGCCGGATCAACTTTCTTTCAATGAGTGCCTGTTTTGTTATGGAATATGTGGAAGGATAGATAAAATCCAGTGATGTTTTATGTTGGAATCTTGATATATTTGCTATGGTGTTTGTGAAATATCTAAAGAACAAAGTATGTGAATCTTCTTCAATATCTCATTTCTACGAGAATGATGGTATTTTGTGTTTTATTCCTTGATTTCCAAGATCCAACCCCCTCAATCTATACAAATGAAGGCTATTTATACTGTCCAAACGACGTATTGACCGTCGAATCAAATCCATGTGGCGACATCTTTTAAACTGAACTCTCACATCACATTTAATAGTTGATAGAAGTCAGCCGCACTAGGAATAGGCTGACATTACCATGGAAGAGTTACTGACACCTTTACGACAGACGTCCCATCAATCGATTCAAATAAATCTTCGAATCTGTT